GGCTAGTGACGTCAGACTGAACAACCGGATAGCATCAGAGCCTGGCTCACAGTAAGAGGCTCCTCACGTTCTCACACTTTTCTCTAAACACTGCATCTCTGTGGTTTTTAAACCCCAAAACACATTGCACCAAAAACTGGTCCACCCCAAGGACCAGGTCCCCCGACACAAACAGAGTAACATAGTGTACACTGTTAAGTGCCAGGAGGATTGCCAGGACTTATACATCAGGGAAACCAAACAACCTCTGGTGAAGCTCTCGTCAGGCCAGGACTCTGCAGTCTATTTACAGCTATAAGCTATTAGACACTCTTTCAATGATGAGGATGTTGTTTTGTTGTTTGATTATCCGAATCAGAATGTTTTTATTTTCATTGTCACAGTTACAACGAAATTAAAAGTGATCCCCGATCAGTGCATCATCCCTAACAATATGAAAATATAAATAAAACAATAATATTTAAAATCAACAAAATCACTAAATAAAATAATTAAAGTGCTAATAAGAATAGTATTAGCAAACATTCACATACATTCCCACACACATGCTTAAGTCAGTGCATAGATCAATTCAGGAGTGGCGTGAGTGACACTTTTTTAGTAGAAGCAATCAGATGTGTTATTGCAGTTGGATAAAAGCTGTGTTTGAGTCTGTTTGTCCTTACACTGATTGCTCTGTACTGGCTGCCCGAGGGCAACAGTTCAAACAGGGAGTGGCAAGGGTGTGAGGTATCTGTTATGATTTTCTGAGCTTTTTTAAGACAGCTGGCAGCCAGGGACCCTTTGGGTCATGTTAATGACCCCTTGGAGCACTTTCCTCTGAGCCACTGTGCAGCTAGTGTACCAGATGCATAAGCAATAGGTTAGTACACTCTCAATGTTGGCTCTGTAGAAGGACACCAGCAGTCTCTGTCTGATGTTATTCCCCCTGGGAAATTCTCAGGAAGTCTCTGTTTGGCCTTTTTCAGCAGCTCAGAGGTGTTCACACTCCAGGAAAGGTTCTCCTCTATGCTGATTCCCAGGAAGCGAAAGTTTCCCACCCTTTCTACACAGTCCCCATAATAATTAGTGATGGGATCTCTGCCCTTTTACTTCTGAAGTCTATTATGAGTTCTTTGGTCTTTGAAGTATTAAGGAGGAAGTTGTTGGCCTTACACCAGCTGCTCCACCTTGTCTCTGTAAGCAGACTCGTCACCCCTGGAGATGAGCCCCACCACAGTGGTGTCATCTGCAAACTTCACAAAGATGTTGTTCTGGTGGACAGAAGTTCAATCGTGTCTGTAGAGAATAGAGCAGCGGACTGAGCACACAGGCCTCGGGTGAACCAGTGCTCATCCTCAGGGCTGAGGATGTGCGATGGCCAACTCTCACTCTCTGTCTACAGCCTCAGAGAAAGCTGTTGATCCACAAGCAGGTGCTGTATGGAAGCCCCAGGTCCTGTAGCTTCACCACCAGTTTGTGTGGAAGGATGGTGTTAAAAGCTGAGCAGTAATCCACGAAAAGCATTCGCACATAGCTCCTGTGCCCCTCCAGGTATGTTACGGCAGCATGGGGTGCTGTGGCTACGGGATCTTCCGTGGACCGGTTTGCTCTAATAGCAAACTGGTGTGAATCAGCACCTCCAAATCTGAGGCCATGGAAAAAGATTTTTGGACTGTCTAAAAGAGATTCTGGTAAACCGTCAGGCCACTTATTGCTTACCTGCAATTTATAGTGTGGGTAGAGTGCTGCTGACTTTGACTGAGAACATTGTTGGGCGGCGGATTTCCTCAGCCGAGAAAGGGTGGAGTGCCCACTGCGGGTCAGAGATAAGTTCCTGTCCCAAGTAGAGGAGTTTAAGTATCTCAGTGGTTTGTATCATATCTATCTAATAGACTCCAATTTGTGCATGTAAATGGAGAGTCCTCTTCACACACTGAGGTTAATTATGGAGTTCCACAGGGTTCAGTGCTAGGACCAATTCTGTTTACATTATACATGCT